CATCCTGTAGGAGCCCTTGCCGTCCCGTAGGTTGACTATCTTGAGCTCGACGTCCTGTCGCGTCCCGTCTTCGTTGAAAGTAACTTTGCTTCTGTCATCGTCTACCGTCACGTTCTTGATGGACCTGCAAGTAACAATGGTGAAAGTAACGATGGTGAAAGTGACGGTGGTGAAAGTATAAAAGCATAAGTAGGAAAAGTAAGAAAACTTGTATTTGTCCCAGATCATTTTATATTAAGCTCTACCTGAGGATCGGGTTACGGACTAAGGGTAAGTAAGACTCGTGTGTCTGATAACATCTCTTATACGTATACGGGGTCGTTATACATTACTACGATACGGTATACAGGGTGGTTTTACATTACGATAGAGGTATACGGGGTGGTAATACATTATAGTAAGATACAGAGGTATAAGCTACGGCGTCGACCGTAAGGTCAGAGAACTAAACCGACACGCAACATCGCGGAGTGCTCATCAACTACTGGGGGCCTTACTTATGGTTGCTAGACCTTATATAGCCTTCGCTTCCGCCCACCGGGTTCTTGTCCTCGTGACACATATGCTGTATGGCAATGTCTTAGTGACACCGTGGACTCAACAGCTGACTACAATGTTAGAGGTAACGGTGAAAAAACGGCCTCACCGGCGTTCTAGTGGCCGGCCGCCACGTGAAAATAAACCGTTTATCCGTTTTTTTTCAGATATTGTACGGGTTTCTAGTGTTGAAGTTGAATAAAAACGGCCATACGGTGTTTCTTTTCACGTGCCGACCGGCCACTAGAACGCCGGGCAGGTTAAACCGTTTAACGGTGATTTTTCAGCTAGTGTAGGTCTGCTGGTAAACACATGAGGACTTGTTTCCACAACCTACTCTCAAACACATTGGACACTTGAATGTTTAGTGGCGAAAACCACAGACATGTGGTATTGGTATTATTCACCTGCGTCTACCAGCTCTAAAGTAGAACATAAAACCAGGCACCTGACGTTGAAATAACGTTAAAACCCGTTATGTTCATATAACGTTGAAAATCGGTTATGTTCACATAACGTTGAAAATCGGTTATGTTCAAATAACGTTGAAAAACCGTTATATTTCAATAACGTTGAAAACCCGTTATTTAAACGACAACGGCCTGAAGGCTTGTAGCCACATGCCATTATAGTTGCCACCTCACCTGTAGAACTTGCTGCCACGCTGCCATTATAGTTGCCACCTCACCTGTAGAACTTGCTGCCATCTCCCCTCCCCCACCCATTCCTTCCCCTACTCTACCACCATCCCCTCCTTCACCCATCTTCTACCCCCCAACTCACCCAACATCCCCACAGGGAAGTCCTCCTCTATGTTAGCCTCCCCCAGGTCCCCCACGACGGACTGGGTCACCACCCAGATGTAGGAGGCCCCGGTGAGGCCCCGCTTGGTGGCCTCCTTCATGATGACGCGCCCCTCGGTCCTGGTGCTGTAGAGGAGGACGACCCGCGCCTCGCTCTTCTGGAGGAGGGCCATGCCCTCGGGGATCTGCTTGTCCTTCAGCAGGATCGTGTCGACCAACACGAAGCGGCTGCTGCATTGAGAAATTAATCTACAGTTTAATATATATTACATTAAAATATATTTTAGCTATATAATATTTGCACGACAAGCACTTCGTTGAGATGATAGTGGAGTGCTCGTATAATTTGTTTCAGTTACCCCCTCCCGCCACTGATTTCCACTGGTTGTTTTCCCATACCACGCCGCCTCTTCCCACACCGAGCCCGGCTTGAGAGGTGCCCAAAGCTGGCAGCAGTACTCACCCCACTCATACCATTCACTTCCACCGGTTGTTGTCTCCATACCGCGACGCCTCTTTCCGCATCGCGTAGGCTTAATAGGTGCCCAATGCTGGCACCAGTACTCCCCCCACTGGCTTCCCCCGGTTGTTGTCCCCATACCATGCCTCCTCTTCCCACACAGCGCCTGGCTTGAGAGGTGCCCAAAGCTGGCGGCAGTACTCTCACACTCTCACCACTGACTTCCCCTGGTTGTTGTCCCCATACATACTCGCGGCCTTTTCCGAACCGCTCCTGGTTTCCCGGCTGGAGAGGTGCCCAAAGCTGGCAGCAGTATTCCCCCCACTTCAACCAATGACTTACCTTGGTTGTTGTCCCCATATCGCGCCGACTCTTCCTGCACCGCGCCTAGCATGACAGGTGCCCAAAGCTGGCAGCAGTACTCCCACCACTCATTCCTCCTGGTTGTTTTCCCTATACCGCGCCTGGCTGGAGAGGTGCCCAAAGCTGGCAGCAGTACTCCCCTTGACTATCACTACTCACTTCCCCTGGGTGTTGTCTCCATATCGCGCCGCCTCCTCCCGCACCGCTTGGATGAAGTCAATGTGGCCAGCGATCTGTGACGTCACGATGCTAAACGACCGCCATCTTTGAAATAACAGACCTAAAATTATATTTTCCATCTATATATGAAAAGTAATTTAAAACTCATCATTATTATTATAAATTAAACCTTAACCAATATCTTATAGTTTCCATCTTCATTAAAACTTGACTAAAGTAAATTCCGCAGTAATATTATCCATCATTATAAGAACTTAAGCGGCAGTTTTATAATGAATTTCGCACTTGTAGTTTCAATCGATATTAAATATTATTAGTCGCTTTGAAATTTATTAACATTTTATTTTCGTTTCTACATAAAAAGAAATGGATGACCCACTTTAGATGACCCACTAAGAATTGTCAACCGCGTCCAAATAGCGATGCGCATTTTGTACTCACTTTTTTACTTTTTTCTATTACATGGTAAATGCAAATTACAAGCATGACTCATTTTTAGCACTAGAAGCGACTTACAGCCAAAAGTGAGTCACCCGAAATTTGAAGGGCCAATAATATGTCAGCATGACCCAGAAATGGGCAACTGAGTCCAAATAATGCATTTCTATTCGTACGCGAACGCGGTTGACTGATGTAAGTGGGTCACCCAGACCCACCCATTCCTCCCAGTGTATTATCCATCTCATAAGACATCACCTGTAGAGGACAAGGATGGACAAGATGGCCGCCGCCTGATGGCGGATAGAAGGCGCAAGCTGGATACGGAGGCCCGTGGACGCAGCCTGATGGAACAATCAGATCTATTTAAATTTCTAAAGCCAATAATAATAATAATAATATAGCGGTTTCAGCGTTATTTAGGCCGCAGGCCAGTCGCCGATTCTTAACATCGCAGAACATTAACAGCTTGTTGCGGTCTCGAACTCACAACTCACTGCTCCCATTCTGCTGTGCTTAACCGCCCGGCCTCCTCGCCGATTCTGACCAGAAACTGGCGCACAGAGCTGGGATCGAACCCGCGCCTCTCTGCGCCAATCTTGGTACTCTGAACTGAAACCACTGGGCCACCCTGCCCATAATATTAATCCATAAAAGGTCTTCGTATATAACATAACATGATATAATATACTATAATTCCGACCTGTTCCAGGCCGGAATTGTCAGCGTTCCAGCCGATGACAGGAAGGCCGAGGTAGCCTGCCAGCTGCAGGAAGTACTGCCAGGATGCGATGTTGTGGTCGTACGTCTGGCTGTTGCTGATGAAGATGATGGCAGACACGTTCTTCGGCAGGAACGCCTCGCACAGCGTGTTCAGGATCGCTGCCGACACGCGTACGACAACATCGGCCGTTAGTATGTACGACAACATCGGTCGTTAGTATGTACGACAACATCGGCCGTTAGCATGTACGACAACATCGGTCGTTAGTATGTACGACTTATGTATGACAACATCGGCCGTTAGCATGTACGACAACATCGGCTGTTAGTATGTACGACAACATCGGCCGTTAGTATGTATGACAACATCGGCCCTTAGCATGTACGACAACATCGGCCGTTAGTATGTATGACAACATCGGCCGTTAGTATGTACGACAACATCGGCCGTTAGTATGTATGACAACATCGGCCGTTAGCATGTACGACAACATCGGCCGTTAGTATGTATGACAACATCGGCCGTTAGTATATACGACAACATCGGCCGTTAGAATGTATGACAACATCGGTCGTTAGTATGTACGACAACATCGGCCGTTAGTATGTACGACAACATCGGCCGTTAGTATGTACGACAACATCGGCCGTTAGCATGTACGACAACATCGGTCGTTAGCATGTACGACAACATCGGCCGTTAGTATGTACGGCAACATCGGCCGTTAGTATGTACGACAACATCGGCCGTTAGTATGTACGACAACCTCGGGCGTTAGTAAGTACTACAACATTGGCCGTTATAGTATGTACGACAACATCGGCCGTTAGCATGTACGACGCAATATCGGCCGTTAGTATATACGACATCATGCGTGGAAAATCGTACGTTATCGCTAAAAACACGCGTACGACAACATCGGGCATTAGTATGTAAGACAACATGCGTCAAAAATCGTACTTCATCGCATGAAACACGCGTAGGCTAAAATCAGGCGTTGGTAGGCATGACAAGAAGTGTGTAATATCGTACGTCATCACATAAAACACGCGCACGACAACATCGGGTGTTAATATATGAGTGAACGTACGTAAAATGCATACAACGAGCGTAAAAGAAACCATCACTTCAAACCCCATCACCTAAAAACCCTCACCTAAAAACCCACCACTTAAAAACCCATCACTTGAAAGCTCCCCAAATTCTCGCCCGGCCTAAGCCTCCATAAGCCCCGAGGCCTAATTTGCGTAGACCTAAATTAGGCGTAGGCCTAAATTAGGCGTAGACTTAACGCGCCGTAATGGACCGTAGAAAATTATCCTGATAATCACTAATTATGACTTTAATAATTAAGTTTAAGTGTTATGATTAGTGAAGTTTTGATTCCTTGTATTATTTGTATACATATATGCTTATGCATGTTACACTCAAATAAATGATATAGCCGATCCATTTTACTGATGTTATGGAAGTTTATATGTTAATTCATTACATGTTACAGCCCCAGCATATTTACATGTTAATTCATCACATGTTACAGCCCCAGCATATTTATATGATAATTCATTACATGTTACAGCCCCAGCATATTTATATGATAATTGGTTCATCGTCAGCGTAAAACGGGTTCAACGTCAGCATAAAACGGGTTCATCGTCAGCGTAAAACGAGTTTGTCGTCAGTACCTCACAAAAGACGTTTGTTTAAACGTCGTGAATTTAACGTTTATTTGACGTTAAATACATGTAATGTAACGGTACATCACTAAGTTGACCACAATTAGGTACCTACCTACCCATGACTTTCATTGCCTGTGCCCTACTTAGATGAACCACTTGTGTGACCCACTTATATGACCCGCTTGTATGATCCACTGATGTGACCCACTTGTATGACCCACTTATGACTCACGTCGTAGGTGCCCCACTTGCCGTCCTCCACCCTGACCAGGTCGAAGGAGAACCTCGTATGACCCACTTGTATGACCCACTTATATGACCCACTTATATGACCCACTTGTATGACCCACTTATGACTCACGTCGTAGGTGCCCCACTTGCCGTCCTCGACCCTGACCAGGTCGAAGGAGAACCTCTTATGACCCACTTGTATGACCCACTTATGACTCACGTCGTAGGTGCCCCACTTTCCGTCCTCCACCCGGACCAGGTCGAAGGAGAACCTGAGGTCGTCCGCGAACTTCTGCAGCAGGTCGATGCAGAACCCGGAGCAGCAGGACGACGTGTAGGTCGTGTTCACCCTGGGGGCGTGGCGGGTGATGGGTGAGTTGAGGGGGAATAGAGGGGGAAAGTGGAGGGAATAATGGGTGAATTGTAAGACGATAGAGGTAGGGCATGGGGGAATAATGAGGGAGACAGAAAGGGGGAATGACAGGAGGTTGATGCAGAATCCTGTTCCAGAATCACTCTGAAGGCGGGTGAACATGGGTGAAAATGGGGGAAATGGGGGAGCATGGGAGGGCAAACAATAGGGAACAAAAGAGAACAGAGTGGGGGAAAGGGTAAACAGTATAGGGTAAGAACGGAAATGGGTGAATAAGGGTGAAAAAAGTCGAACAAATGAGAGCAAATTTTGTAGAAAATCGCTCCACTCACCCGCTGGAGTCTGGGTGGGCTATCTTGCAGGGCAGACCCCACTCACCCGCTGGGGTCTGGGTGGGCTATCTTGCAGGGCAGACCCCACTCACCCGCTGGGGTCTGGGTGGGCTATCTTGCAGGGCAGACCCCACTCACCCGCTGGGGTCTGGGTGGGCTATCTTGCAGGGCAGACCCCACTCACCCGCTGGGGTCTGGGTGGGCTATCTTGCAGGGCAGACCCCACTCACCCGCTGGGGTCTGGGTGGGCTATCTTGCAGGGCAGACCCCACTCACCCGCTGGGGTCTGGGTGGGCTATCTTGCAGGGCAGACCCCACTCACCCGCTGGGGTCTGGGTGGGCTATCTTGCAGGGCAGACCCCACTCACCCGCTGGGGTCTGGGTGGGCTATCTTGCAGGGCAGACCCCACTCACCCGCTGGGGTCTGGGTGGGCTATCTTGCAGGGCAGACCCCACTCACCCGCTGGGGTCTGGGTGGGCTATCTTGCAGGGCAGACCCCACTCACCCGCTGGGGTCTGGGTGGGCTATCTTGCAGGGCAGACCCCACTCACCCGCTGGGGTCTGGGTGGGCTATCTTGCAGGGCAGACCCCACTCACCCGCTGGGGTCTGGGTGGGCTATCTTGCAGGGCAGACCCCACTCACCCGCTGGGGTCTGGGTGGGCTATCTTGCAGGGCAGACCCCACTCACCCGCTGGGGTCTGGGTGGGCTATCTTGCAGGGCNCCTGGCGGTCAGTCCACGCGGACAGTCCACGTGGACGGCGGCTTGGAACAGCCCCCCCCTCACCTGGCGGTCAGTCCACGCGGACAGTCCACGTGGACGGCGGCCTGGAACAGCCCCCCTCACCTGGCGGTCAGTCCACGCGGACAGTCCACGTGGACGGCGGCCTGGAACAGCACCGCCCACACGAGCCAGTAGGTGCGGAACAGCGAGAACTTGTGGTCCCGTGGCGGGGTCATCTGGGAGATAATGATAGCGATAACAATGATAACAGTGATGTTAAGGGGAGCGTCTACCCTAAAATTTTGGCTTTTCCGGTTTTTAGTCTCATCTTAAAGCTGACATTCAGACCTATACAACGGTACCATAACCATCTCTGTACGTTGATTTATGCGTTCACGGCATAGCGCAAAAGGGTTAGGGGTGGTGGAGTTCTTTAACATTTAAGATAGGCCGAAATTACCGGCAGTACACTTAAATAGCTATAGTCTGAACACGTTGTGCTTCAGTTATCCGCCTGCAGTCGTACGGGATGGTTCTCGTGCCGTCGTTCGCACCATCCTTGACAGAAATTGAGCTCCAGTATCGTCTAGTCTTTGCAACCTTGCAATCTTGAATGTCTTTTTCGAGGCACGCGTGACTTTGTCGGGCGTGCTTTGCTCTTTGTCTACTGAAAAGTTGACTTATTGTCACTGCAAACCTATCTCCTCCTAGAGTTTTGATGCTACAACAATGAGGCATATATCATTCAATTCGCAAATAAAAGATCTACAAAGTTGTGTAGGGTTTTTTTTTAATTTCGTTATAATTTTATTTTATTTAAGAAAAAGTGGGGAAAAATTAAAAAAATTCCGACAAAGTCACGAAAAATGGCCCCCCACCCACAGAAATTAGAATTTCAAAGAACGCCTACACAGTTTTGTAGATATGGTCCTTACGCATCGTATGATATGTGTCTCGATGTCGTAGCTTGGAAATCCTAGGAGGAGATAGATTTCTACGGTACCCCCTTTTTGGCAGTTTTCCAAGAATTTCACGTTTTCTTTCATTTATTTCGAAAAATTCACACGAACAAAAAGCATTTTTCTTTCTATTTCACATGAGTGTACCAAGTTTCAGAGTGATCCGTCTGTAAACAACCGAGATAAATTTTAGGGTAGACGTTCCCCTGAATGATGAGCTATTACATCCACTGTACTGATAATAATCATCTGTGGCACAATCATTACCCGTAGTGATGACAATAGCAATAATAATGATAACAATGATAGGCCTCTGTTATCCACATCGTTATTCTTAGTAATGATAAGGCGCGATTTTGGTTCAGGTTTACCCCCGGAATTTTGTCGCACAATTACACCGAATTTCCTAAAAAATCGTCGCGCTGTTACCTAACTTATGCATATATATATATAATTTGTATACATAGATATATAAAATGTTTGGTTAAAAATACTGCCAGTTTTATTGAGGACTTCTTTTGAGTTTAATCTCTCAAGCTTTCTGATAAGAGGTACAGTAATATACAGTACAATAGATATATAAATATAAGCGAGCGTAGCGACTCCTGCGCAGAGGCCGAGCCGTCCCCCAAATTTTGTTACATGCATTCTTCACACACGATATTGGTATCCTGGATACGCGTCCTCAACTGCTCCTACATTTTTAATAATTACTTACAAAGCTTCACAAATATCAATAAATCTTTTAAAAAGTGTTATTAATAAATTAAATAATCTAAGATTAAGATAATGATTAACAAGCAGGTATATAATTACATAATTTCCTACGTATCTTTTTATATACTAATATATCTATATATGATTAATATCTATACCATTGAAATAATATTATATAAGATACTATATAAATAAGATATCGTAGAATATAATATAGTTTATTTTTAGTAGTATATTATTTAGTATATTGAACTATGTATATAGTATAAAGTATATTAATATATAGTACAAATTAAAGTACATATATGCATACTAATATATATTATACTTAAAATATATTTTAATTACACTATATATTATAATATGATATTATACATAATATATTAATTGAATTTTTATATTGGTAATACCATTAATAAATATGTATACACACCCGCATGTCGTAGCCGTCAGTAATATATAATATATTAAACAAGTTAATATATACTATAGTACAAATTAAAGTATATAAACACACCCGCATGGCGTAGCCTAATATTCTAATTACATTATACTGTGATATTATATATAATATATCAGCCCCAGCATATTTATATGATAATTCATTACATGCTACAGCCCCAACATGTTTATATGATAATTCATTACATGTTACAGCCCCAGCATATTTACATGTTAATTCATTACATGTTACAGCCCCAGCATATTTACATGTTAATTCATTACATGTTACAGCCCCAGGCCACACTCACACGTCGGGGAGGAGTACACCGCCAGGGACATGGTGATGTTCTCTACTGATGTTATGCATGTTTATATGATAATTCATTACATGTTACAGCCCCAGGCCACACTCACACGTAGGAGAGGAGTACACGGCCAGGGACATGGTGATGTTCTGCAGGCACACGTACTTCCCGCCCCTCACAGTCAAGGGGGTCTCCTTCTCCAGCGCCTCCTTCACCGCCCGCTGGTAGTCCCGCTGGTGAAAGTGGGCGCTGGGGTATATCACTCCTGTGAAAGGAATATAATATTATATAACTGAGAGGAATGATGTAAATGAACCCCACTAACATAATTCGGGGACCGCCTAGACTTCGGTCGAATAGTCGCTACACTCGGTGCAAAGTTATTCTTGGTCTGCTTGGCCACATGATCGAAATCAACTTCTGGTCAGAATCTTCTTTCTGACTTTATTGTGTCCTGAGAGTATGACAAAGGTTGGCCGTGCCGAGTTTTACCGAGCCCGCAAGCTGCCCAGAGGCTGCCCTTTACGCCCGACGGAAGCGGACATTAGCGGCTGATAAACACGGTCCCAGAGTCCATGCGCACCACCATGCACGATGCAGAGTCGAGCCTGCGTCTACATTTTGTTACCCATATGGGGCATGGTGTAATTTGGCAGATATTGTATCTTTTCAAAAGTTCCATTCAAGACTAAACGTGTCTTGCTAATCTTCATTTCGATATTCTAGCGCTAGAAAAGAACATCGTTCTAGTCTCAACATGATTTGAATCGTGATTTACGGATTCGAGACCTGGCAAGCTTTTAAAATTCGGGCCAAATTTTACTAGGTAGCCATGTGTTATATATTGCTGGATTTGAACAATGAGTTACGGGTTTGAGACCAAACCATCTGTAAAAATTCTGGGCGAAATCGGAAAAATTGGCTTGATAGCAAGGTACACTAAAATGTGTGCAGTGAGTTGCGGGTTCGAGACCCAGACAGCTGTGAAATTTTTGAACGAATTGGGCAAGGTAGCCGGGTGTTAAAAAATAGAAAGATCTATGCCGTGCATTAAGGGTTCGAGATCCGGATAGCTGTAAAATTTTTAGCTGAGATTACAGGAGTGACCGGGTGGTTAAGAACACCATGATTTAGGCAGTGAGTTGCGGGTTCTAGACTCAGCTAGCAGCCAAAATATTATTAAAGTATCACCAAATACTCACCGAAATGTAGGTCCTTGCAATGCTTGATACTTCGATCCTTCGGTATTCCTTTCTTGCTGTCCTTCTTGCGTCCTTCGCCCATACCAGCGTTGACCATCACCATGACCGCCAGCAGCAAGAATGTCCATCTCAACCACCGTCCTCCTGTACGAGGAGGACATTTCCTTCCCCAGCTGCCGGAAAGGGAGATCAAACTTCCGTTGGTGTTTATCATACGAGGAGGGGAAGGGGAAGATGAAGGGGAAGTTACGAAGTTCGTCTGTTTATGTTCGTGGGGAGGAAGTTGACGAGGAGCAACACCCAATTTTTCTACGTGGGGAAGAGGTTGTAAAGGATCAACGTCCGTTTTTTCTATGTGGGGAGGAGGTAGAAGCGGATCAACATCCAATTTTTCTACGTGGGGAAGAGGTTGAAGAGGAGAAATACCCCATTCTTCTTCCTGATGTCGAGTTTGAGGAGTGATTCCATTCTCTTCTCCTTCTTGCCAAATTTGAAGCGGAGTTTTCAGATGAGTCCGGATTTGAAGAGGACTCTGACAACGTTGAAGAGGACTACCATTTCCCTCCTGACAGTATTGAGAAGGACTGTCATTTCCTTCCTGGGAACGTTTGAAGGGACTGCCATTTCCGTGTCCACGTTTCAAACTGAATTGGATGTGGACGTCAGAAGCAGAGAGGTTTACTCTGGTGAGGTACCCCAGAGATGGGGTTCGGTTTAAAACGTTCAATAAAAAGTCGAAACGTCCTGATGAGGGGATGATCATCCTTAATGAAGGGACAACAATGCATAATAAGGGGAAGAACCCTCCTAATGTGGGATCTAACATCCCTATTGAGGGGTCGTACCTCCCTAAATGGGTATGGCCGGAAATCACTTCTTTATTGGACAAAGAGTTGTTCTTGACCCACGAAGTATATGGCGCGACTTCAAAAATAATTAATTTGCATAAAATCAATAGATTACACTCTAGAATAGAATTACCGTTACTAGAAATGGAAAACATCATATCTAAATTTGAAATAGGAAGCAAAATGCATTCATGGACGGAAAAGAAAGAGTTTTCTTTGGTGCCACTTGCATCAAGATCCGATGTGTGTTCAGCAGAAAGTGATTTCAACATCGCACGGGACCTTTGACAGATCGTACGCTCCATCACCGCTGTGAAGAAGCTTGTTGGATTTAAAATGTGGGTTTCATTTATGGTTTTTGACAGACAGGGCACAGCAACACCAGGCGCCAGACTTTTTCTCTTGACTGTAGGAGTCATGTGATGCACCGCGTGTGGATTTTTGGCAGATATCCTGCAAGTATTTTTACTGAATGCCGATTTAGGAAACTCTGTGGATCCCGCGAGTTGAGTTTCAGTCAGCTCTGTGTTAGAAATCATTGGACACACTTGAATCCCAGTGTGTGTTGACACAGAAACACTTGGATGCACTTGAATCCCAGTGGGTGTTGACACAGAAACACTTGGATGCACTTGAATCCCGGTGGGTGTTGACACAGGAACACTTGGACACACTTGAATCCCAGGGGGTGTTGACACAGGAACACTTGGACACACTTGAATCACAGCGGATGTCGACTTACGAATTCTTGGGCACTCTGAAACTTCGCTCCTATTTGGCATGGAAGCGCCGTAATTCGATGCCACGGAATCGTCATAGTGTAAATGTGGGTCATTAAAGTCGTGACTCACTTTTGTTGAGAAGAACCAGAACTCATGAGGATGAGTGAAGAACATTTGAGGAAGAAAACTCGAGATGTTTTCGGCGTAGCGGAAGTTGGAACTTCTCAACGTCATCCCTCCAGCATTTGGTTCGCTGGAGGAACACACTTTCTCCGGAGTTTTAACATCCTGAAGTACAACCTTCCTTCCCACATTACAACCCGCATCACCATGTTTGTTCTTCTCGACGGGTACTTGTGTTGGTTGAGGCTCGGTAGCCATTCTGCACCATGTAACGCAACCATCAGCAATCGAATACTTCGATTGAGGCACCATGACTGGTACTCTCGGTTGACACGGGTGATCGACTATGTTGGGTGTGGCTGCAAGGGGCCAGGGTGAAATTCTACAATTCCGGTCACAACAGTTTCCTTCAGTTGTACATTGTTGTTTTAATGTTTCAATACAAAAAGTATATAATTGTTCTCTCTACTTAGTCCTCATGTTTCTATAGTTTAATATACACACGGCAAATGAATCAGTATTTACATATAATTTATATAGTCAGTTCATTCATTTAGGAGAATTCCACCCTTGCAAATTCCCGGTGAATTTCACATTGAATTCCTCGGTGAAAATTGATCCGAATTTTGAACAGTTAATTTATCTTCCACCGCTTCATCCACTTCACTTGATGTATATATATCCATGAAAAGACCTAAATCCTTGTACATTTTTATCGTTACAATCTGGCACTTTAAATCAACGGCACAAAAATACGTTTAAAGTTCTCACAAGTTCTGAAATTTTATGCCCAAAAATGGTCAAAGTTGTGGCAAGTTCCACGATGAACTTTATATGCATGATAATCTTGAAACGTTTGATTAAAACTTTTATATTATAATAGATTTGAATGGTAAGTTAAAATGAGATGATCTGTGCGAGAGTTTAATGAAGTAATTAATTATTGGAAAACCATTCATTCACTTTAACTAGGATATTGAATAAGCTTAGAGTCATTTGATTTATTTATTTGAAGGCATTTATATATTTTTAATAAAATTTATTCTATGCGATTTATTTTATTTTATTTATTTGAATTAATTTTATATTTAATTTAAAGTTTTTTATTTATTTTGTTCAGTTTATTGAATTCATCGAAATTGTTGAGGATGGGGTCAGGGGTTGAGGATGGGGTCAGGGGTTGAGGATGGGGTCAGGGGTTGAGGATGGGGTCAGGGGTTGAGGATGGGGTCAGGGTGGGGTCAGAGGTTGAGGATGGGGTCAGGGGTTGAGGATGGGGTTAGGGGTTGAGGATGAGGGTCAGGGATTGAGGATGGGGTCAGGGATTGAGGATGGGGTCAGGGGTTGAGGATGGGGTCAGGGGTTGAGGATGGGGTATCCCGTAGCACTGATACCCCACGAGAACTAAAATTTGCATCGCTATTTAGACAAAATCTAATTCATTTATTTGAGTGCAGCGCTCGATATTAAACAGGTTCAACCATAACAAAAATTTCCCTTCCATTTTTTAGAATTTATTTCTTTAAAATTTTTATTTTCTTAGAATTTTTCATTTTCAGAATTTTTTCACTACTCATTTTTCTCTACAATTTTTTATTTTTGAAACTGCCGAACTTTTATCGATATGCGATCAATTTTATGGCGCGCGTGGCAGGATACTTGAATGTTGCGTGCAAACGCCCTAGACTTAAACTCATAATACTAAACTTAAATGAAAATATGTCGGAAAATAAATTTTTTCTATTATAACAAATTTTTTAAGTTATATTATGAATTTTTATTTTGTGAACTATTCAACTTATATTTATTCTTCAATGTAAAAATCAGTTGAAAAATTTAGCCGTCTTGCAAACCTGTTAGAACCTATGATATATAACGTTCTGTTCACTATACATGTGTATTTGTATGAGCAGCGTATTTAAGTATACTATGTACGCTCAAGGTACCTACGAATTTTTTGGGAATAATATAGGTAAACAAATATATTATAAATTGCGATTCAATATGATTAATATGTTTTTCACTATAATATACATTTTACAGTCCCATAAATTTCATGTCACGACCTAAAACCCCCCCACCCTCCTTCCCATCACTATCAGCTTCCCCCCTTTTCCCCTCCCCCACAATCAGCTGGCACTTCAACT